GGCACATGTCGCGTGGAAATTCCTCGAGGACCAATATGGGAGGACAAGTGATCGGGCAAGGAACATGCGTGAAGAGAAGCTGTCGAGGTATAGAATGGCTGAGGGGGCGGTTGTTGCAGGTGCAGGAGGTCACATAGAGAAAATGCGTACCTTGCGGAAGCTTGCAAACGATACCGGCGCCAATATCGATAACCAGCGCTTCATAACCAAACTCCTCGACTCTTTCCCTGAATCATGGGACGCTGTCATCAACAGCATGTACAGTGAAAAAGATCTCAACACCATCATAATGAATCTAACAACCCATGCCGAACGACTCAGTATCCGCGAAGGAAAATCCAAAGAACCTGACTTGCCTACACCGCCGTCTATCGACACCGTCAAAGCGCTTGAAGCAACCATCCTTGCTTTACAAGCTGAGATGAAAACGTTCAGACCTTTTCAACACCAGCGTGGAACGACCAACCCCAGTAAAGCTCATTTGATATGTGCAAACTCACTATGTGGAAAGGTCGGCCACCTTATGGAGGATTGTTTTGGACCCGGAGGTGGGAAAGCTGGTCAATATCCCCCTTGGTACAAGGGAAAGCGGGCTACTGCGAGCGCAAACTTAACGATGCTGATGACATCGTCTACATCATCTGGGTCCACAACCCCAGGTACTCATTGGGCGTTATCCACGACGTTTAACTACCAAGAAATCGATACCATCATTCGCGAAAATGCTCAAACCGACCAGAGTGCCTCAATCGGAAACCGTTTCATATTACCAGGCGCAGTAACCAGTAATATCGACAAGCTTATCGATGAAAGTGCCACTGCTGAACGTAAAGTTGCCCTCGCCGCTGCTGCAAATCCTGAGGCAATTGGGATCGGCTCTGCATGTGTTGCTGACTCTGGATGTACAACATATTTCTTCAAATCTCGAAACGTCTTCTCTGTTTACAAATCCCTCGACAAAGCAATTGGTCAATCGTCGATGGTAGGGGCAAACTTCAGAGTCTTAGGAATGGGAACAGTCGAGATAAAGGTTGTACATGATAATGTCGAACACACCTTGGTATTCACCAATGCTCTTCATGCCCCCGACGTCACGGCCAACCTTATCTCCATTGGTAGAATGGATCTTGCTGGTTGGGAGGTCATTTTTGGGAAACAAAAGGCACGGTTCTTCATGGGTAAAAGAGAGATTTTTGGAGGAGTGTTAAAGGATGGATTATACCTTGTCGGAGGATCACTTGTCTCAAACATTCCAACCATCCTCACTGCTCGATCCCTAAAAAGCCCAGCTGACCTTGCTCTCTGGCATCGCCGATTCGCCCACTTTGGAACTACGCGTATATCAGAAGCTAGCAAGCTAGTTGATGGTCTGGTAATCACCAACGAAGAGACGTTGGGAAAATGTGAAGATTGCATTATTGGAAATCAGAAGCGACGAGCATACGATGAAAAAGTTGAAGCTGAAACAGAAGTCTTACGACTTACCAACATCGACCTATGGGGACCAGCTCGCGTTACTTCAGCAGGAGGCGCCCTGTATGGAATGAAGTTCCATGATAACGGATCCTCACGCAAACGGACATTCTTCATCCCAAATCGAACCGCCGAAACGACGTTGACCATCCTAAAAACCTATAAAGCCGAATCGGAGAACGTCACTGGGAAGCTCATGGTCTTTGTACGAACAGACAATGCACCAGAGTTTAAAAGCGAGCTCTGGGTAGCTTACTTCGCCGAGAATGGTCTGATCATGGTGCCAACGGCCCCATACTCATCTGGATCCAATGGAACGGCGGAACGCTCGATCGGAATCACTACTGGATCTGTCCGAGTAATGCTCAATGATGCACGACTAGCTGCTAAATGGTGGGCTGAAGCATGGGCGTTCTCAGAGACCGTCGAGAATGTCTTACCATCTGCTCGACACCCAGGAATCATCCCAGAGGAGAAGTTCACAGGCGAAAGGCAGGATGTGGGACACATCAGGGTCTGGGGATGTGTTGCGTACGTGCATATCCCATATGAGAAGGGCGGCGGCAAACTAGCGGATCGGGGACAAAAGGGGCGATTGATGGGATTAGAGGGTCGAGGAATCTACAGAGTTTTGATCCCTGAGACTGGTCAGATCATCAGATCTAGGAACGTGGTATTCGAAGAAGGTCTTGGTCACCGGACGCTCACAGATGAGGGGGAGTATTTCGTTGAGGATGATGGAGACATTGACTATGAATTCTTAGATGATTCTACACGTCATACCACCAACGACACTTCATCCGAGACCATCGACATTCCCACTCCTATCATTGAAAAACCCAAAGTCTCTCGCCAACGTATTATCTACCCTCCTGCTTCTCGGAAATCATCCCGACTCGCCGCTGCCGCCGAAACAACAAATCCTGTAATAGCTGCAGATACCGACGACCTCACAATTCCTGTAATCGAACCAGACGATGAAGAGGACGATTCCCCTACAGCCTTAAACACAAACTCGACTCCCGATCCCCTCAATAAATTCATACCAGAAACATTCCAAGAAGCATACGATATATCGCGACGCTATCTATGGATGCCCGCTATGGAGAGAGAAATCGAACGATGGGATGCTCGTGGGGTTGTTACCGCTGTCCCTCGCCCAAAGGGCGTTAAAACCATCAAGGGAAAATGGATATACGACTTGAAAGTTGATGGTATAGGGAACCTGCTCCGAAGAAGAGCTCGTGGGGTGGTTAAGGGATTCTCTCAGAAGTATGGAGAACACTGGTGGGACTCGTTCGCCGCTGTGGTAAGATATGAATCCATTAGAATGCTATTCGCATTGAGCGCGTCGCTCGGACTTCGTCTATGGCTACTCGACTTCGTCGGCGCATACCTCAACTCTGTACCTCAAGGCGAAAACTACCTAGAAATTCCTGAAGGCTTCGAGAAGCATTATGGGATTCTAGGTGTCGACACTGTCCTCCTTATGAACCTCACCATCTATGGTACAATGGATGGTGCTAACAACTGGTTTCGTGAGCTCAATGCGACATTCACTAAACTCGGCCATCGCCAATCTCGCGCAGACCCTTGTATTCGAATTCAATGGACAGACAAAGGGTACACGATAACTGGAACATATACCGATGACGTTACAGGAGGATCTTCGTCCTCCGAAAACGAGATTGAAGCGAAAACCGAACTTGGAAACGCCTATGAAATTACGGACCTTGGCCGCCCAGATAAGGTTCTTGGCATGACGATCAAACACCATGACTCCGGCGACATCTCTATTCACCAACGCCCTTTAATTCTGAAGACCGTCACTACCTTTGGAATGCAAAACGCGAACCCAAAATATACGCCTCTTCCCCCAAACGTCAACCTCACGGACTCACAACCAATTCCGATCCCACAAACTGACATCGAGTTCATGAAAGATAAGGATTACCGAAAGGCTCTAGGGATGCTCAACCACATCGCAAACGGAACACGTCCGGACATCTCTTTCACCGTGAACACGTTAATGCGCTACGCATCTGACCCTCGCCCTTTCCATTGGCGCCTTGTCCAGCATTGCATCACCTACCTCAAAACCACCGCAAACCTTGCTATCACGTACCGAAAGGGCGAGAGCATCAAACCAATCGGATACTCCGATTCTTCATACGGCGATGAACCAGATTCGCGCAAATCCTCAGCAGGATTCATATTCAAATCAGCTGGCGGACCTGTTTGTTGGAAATCCAAGACACAGAAAAGGGTTAGCACGTCTACCGGCGAAGCAGAGTTTGTGGGGGTATTCGAAGGTGGAAAGCAGGCGAAGTGGATGTATTTTTGGTATACCGAGGTCGACCAACATTTCGACCTTCCGATAACCGTCTATTGCGACAACGACTCCGCCGTTGCACTTACTCAAAACACTGGCGGCCATAGCAAAATAAAACACGTCGACATCAAAACTCATTGGATTCGCGAGGCAGTCACCCTCGGCGAGATACTCGTCGAACCTATCTCCTCCGAGGAGAACGTCGCGGACTTATTCACCAAGTCACTTTCTCGTCCGAAACTCGAAGTCCTTATCAAGAAAATGGGAATGGAATACCTTGATATTTAATCGACCAAGCTACGGGTTCAGGGGGAGTGTTGAGGTTTGAACCCATACCTCCTTTCCCGATCGAATGACTTCATTAGTTTGTTCCTATTATCCCCTTTACTATTTTCTTCCCTCCTTTCTTTGCGCTTTCCTCAGCCGTTTACTCTTGTACAACGTCTGAGGTGCGTATCTTATTTTCTATTATTCATACTTCTTACTTACGGTCTCTGATAGTATACTTATCATATCCTAACAGGTAGAGACCGAATAAAGCCGTTTACTCTTGTACAACGTCTGAGTATACTTATCTAGTGTTTGAAAGTCCGGTTAGGTTAGGTTATTGGGTGCCCAGGGGCTCTAACCGAGACCGAGACCGGTTAGGGTTCGTTCCCAGACCCAAAATAACCTAACTGGACCGAAGATAACCGATGAAAACCGGTTAGTTGCAGTTACTAACCGGTTAGGACCGAAAAAATAGAAAATCGATTAAAACGGCGTATATTTCTCATATTCCTTGCAGTAAACATTATTGCCATGCGTCGTAGCTTTAAAACAAGCCCAAGAACGCTAAATTCGGTGAAGAATTGACAATTTTATAATAATATTCTTGAAAGCCTACTATTTTAGCCAATAATTTAGAGATTTGACCATAACTCTGTCAGATTTTTAGTGTTTCTCATGCTTTTAGATGCGTTTTGAAGGGGTATAATAGGGTCGGTTGTAACCGGTTATAACCGGTTTTTTAACGGTTAGTTAACCGCAAAATAACCGGTTATTTCATTTCCAGAATTGACTAACCACTAACCGCGGTCCGGTTTTTTTGCAGTTAGGTCCGGTCTGGTCTCGGTTATTTTCCAGTTAATTAACCTAACTTCCAAGCACTATACTTATCATATCCTAACACCTCTTGTGCAGGGTGAATGTCTGAATGCCCCGTACGTTGCGTTGCATAGAGCCTACACCAGAGAAAGCGAAATCCAGCTGGAGACGCGAAACAGAACGAAGCCTTGCTGAGCTTTTGTGTTGTGGCGATGACATTAGTAGTGTTTGCGCCAGGTTTGTGATCATAATGTGACGTTGACAAACCTCTCATTCTTTTACGATTCACGCTGCAAGGATCCTCTCTGCACAGATATTGATGAAGGAGCACATGCAAAATTGAAGGATGCGCAGGTGAGTTCCATTTACTGTACCTCTTCTTCAAGTTACAATTTTCGTTAAATACAGGACCGCGATACCCACACTTCAGCCACGCAATATCCTGAAGCACAAAAGTTGGTTGACGTTCACCTGCGTTTTTCAAGATCAACGACCACTCGCCTTGCAATGATGCCAGATTAGGGGTGGAGAGATCCAATTAGATCAAGGCATAGACGAAGGGCGAGCCTGGAGATTCTGGGGTCGGGCTTGACGATGAGAGTGTGGACTTCTGCCTTTTCTGGCGAAGTTCCCTTGCATGTTGTTGAGTTCATACGGCGAACATATATTTTGGTTCCAGAATCCAGATGCTGAATTCACCCCAGTGGGCACTAAATCGGGGACTACAAGTTCCCTTGGCGACGCAATTGGCGGCGAGCGAGAGGGCGGCCGACCATTTCTGGGTATGTGATTGTGGGTGATTCCAATGCGAAAAATTGACGTACCCCTTGCATAAACTAGAATTGTGGCTGGTGAGGAAGCCCAACAACGGCTTTGCGGACGTTGCATACAGGCTACGGTGTTGAGTATGTACTCACTGCAAACATCACTGACATAGGCGAGCCTGTTGAAGTGGAGATTTACAGTCGTTTCTCATAACGCAGTTTTGAAATAGGTTTCCGACAGCCAACCGTAACGGGACTCGGTAGATGATTACAACCTGTTGAACGCTCGATTGGTCGATCGACAACGCATCAGCAACCCGTATATCTTATACTCATCTGAGGTAGCAGAGCAAACGCTCCCTTCGCTTGCCCGATGACATGTCGTTGTCGGAATCGGCGATACGGCCTGGACCCGTAGCATGCAACTACCACTTCCGCTAAGACATCTTGACCGTTTCGGCACGATGTCGACGTTGTGTGTTCTATCAGCCTTTCCGAGCCCTGATCTGACAGATGTTACGCTTAACGTAAGTCATTTCCTCAGTCTAGCGCTTATTATCGATACTGAGCTCATTTTAGGTCATGTGGACCCTGTCAGGCTGTCACCTCGACCCCTGGGGTTGTCAGGAATGCATAGTGGGCCGATGTCCGACTCATGGCTTATCGATTAACCGATTTGTCTTATCTCATTCAGACAGTTAAGTTGCAAGTGAGGTCGCTGCCTGTCTCTGAAATTCCCCACGCCGTCACTCCGCTTGAGACAACTCAAGAAAGTCAAGGTAGTCTCCGCGCTCCTACACCCCATTTCCAATACGACCTCCCTCAGGGCATTGATGCCCACCTCCCTCATCATTTTTCAGCCTTCTCTCCCCCGCGCTCTCCCCCGCGTTCTCGGCCCGACTTCCCCACAATCGTTTGAACCACCTCATATTCGCCCCTGCGAACCTCACACTGAGGTTACTGAGCGGCATGGGTTACGAGGTCTGGAATGCGATAATGAGGACCTACGGTTGGCGAGCAGGGTCAGGTCTATTTGAAGCCTGACAGAGCCTGATCCGAAAAAAATTGACAGGAGCCTGGGGTCCTTGTCACCGCTTCCGACGTATTCACAATGAATATACCATATATGTGTCACTCTTTTCAGGTACCATTAGTATGTAGCAGTAAAGCGAAATATAATATGTGCAAGAAAATGTACAATGCCGTAGCAACACAAGCAGCAGGCCCAGGTGGAAAGTATGCATGGATGAACGCAGCAAACGCAGCAGCTGCCAACGGTATGCCTAAACCCAAGCCTGCCCCCGCTGCTCCCATCACCCCTTCCCCAGCGGCAGTAGCCTCCGCTAGTCCTGTAACTCCCACCACTGCGTCACCTGCGACCACTACGGCTCCAGCTGCTGGTGTTCCTAGTGCGACGGGGAGTTCGTGGGCACGGCCGTATGTCCCGACGAAGAAAGCGGATGCTGCGTCGACGCCTTTGGAGGAAGACACGTGGACGCTGGTGACGATACGCGGTGCGATGTTCGTGGTGGAGAAGGAGAGATGGCATGGCGGGGGCAGCTAGGGGTTGAGTAGAGCTTATAGGCCGCATTTCTCGTTTTCAGCTGTTTCATCGTCAACATCCATAGTCCATGCGTTGAATGGCGGAAACTCACGAATACCCAAAGCACCACCCCCAACGATGAGTGCACTTGGCGCCTCTTCGACTATCCTCTGTTTCTCCCAAGTTTCTCCTGCATCCATTCGATACCCTCGACTTTAAGGCCTCTGTACTTTACCCCCGTTGGAGTCATCGGGTGTAGGATTTTGATCTTCCAGGCTCGTTGGCGCTGGTTCGTCTTCCTCTTCATGCTCGAACTCTTCGTCCGAGTCGACGGTAGCCTGAGCTGCTTTTTGTATGGCGGCTCTGGAAGAGAATCAGTAACAGCATGTGCGTGGTAACGAGAACTCACTTTTCTCTCAAGTGCTTCACGACGCTCCATACTCACGTATCAGCTTGAGTGGGAATTTCAAACCGACGTCTTTGATGGGCTCGAGGTAGTCGCATCCAAGGGGGATACATAGGTCAAACAACTTGGAATGATGGTTAGCGTACGGAGGAAAACGAAGAGAAAGGCAGCTACTTGACTCATGTTCATGGTGGGCGCGTTGATTGCGTAATAAATTGTTTATATTAAAAAGAATTATATTATTATTAATTGTGACGATGATCACTTCTTATAACTTCTGGACGTCAAAACAGACCTGGCCCTGCTCGCCAACTGTAGAGGACCTTAATATAACTCATCCACTGACAGCACTCATTCTACGTATCCCCTAGTTGCCGCCTGGTCTTGGAATTTCTCGTATAACCCGAGCTACGCCGGTGTCCGAGTTGCGTCTATCACAGACTCCTTATATGCCATCCGTGTGAATCGCACAAAAACGAGGGGAACGTTTGGCGCTCAACCGTCTGGGACTCTTCATGGTCGATCTAGCTTGGATGAGCAACCCCATCACACCAATGAGCAGCGACGGCAGTCACACCAAGGTATGAGTTGCTGCTTTACTAGACCATGGGCTTGTCATGCTAATCCAAGATTGGATTGCAGTTCTACGACTCCTCCCTTGGAGCGAGCCCATCTAACGCACCGCTCATGGCACACTCCCTATTCAGTCGCCAGAACATCCCTTGTACGTCGTTCTACCTAGCCAGATTTGTTTTTATCTTATTGAACCATCCTTCTGTGAACCAGCTTGTGCCGGTGAATGTATCGCTTCTGCTGACCTCGGCGGCTGTGCAACAACCGACAACGCCTGCCTCTGCAAAAGCAAGGTCTTCGTCTCCAGCACTGCAGCCTGCATCGAAAGGACCTGCACTGGCTCCGACCTTGCAACGGCTATAGCTGCTGCTGAGGCGATCTGCGCCGCTGCCGTATGTCCCACCTTCCAGCCATACCACCCCCTTTCCTCACCTGTGTTCTCGTAGGGGGTAACGTTGAGCGATCTTCCGACCGTATCTGCCACCGCAACAGGACCTTCATCTCCAACAGCAACGTCCGTTGCATCTAGCTCTAGTACCAGCTCAGGCGGTTCCGGCACAGTCATGATCGCGCCAATCGTCGGAGGTGTTGTAGGGTTTTTAGCGCTGGTGGCTTTCATTGTTGTGGGCTTGATATGGTTTCGCAAATCCCGCCGAAAGAGAAGAGTATGGGTCCGAAGGTCTCAATCACTAACGAGTGTGGAGCATTCACCGATCCTCCCCTCCTCCACCATAGAACCCTTCCCGATCCCTTCCGCAGCGCCACAGAATTCTGGACAGCTGCAAAGTAGCAATAAATCGGCTTCGCCTGGTGGGCCACTTGCGCCTCCCTCAACGAAGCAACTGGTGGCAACGGGCTTGATCCCAACCACCACGCAGACGCCATCGTTGACGCAGATGTCATCATCGTCGGCTAGCACACCTATCGGCGGATCATATAGCCATGGGATTGTTGGAAATACGTCGAGGGTGTTGTTGCATCAGGATAGTGGGATTCGGTTGCCCAGGCAGGCGGGAGAGAATGAGGTTGTGGAGATGCCGCCGTTGTATACATCCGTCTGAAGAGGGTACAATCTGGGCATGCCGGCAGACCTTCAGGATTGACATTTCGCTTGCCGAAACAGGTGGTGGTTGTATTTTGGTATGGTTTCGGCTCTATGCGTTCAGACTTTAAAACTTGAAAGCCCAAGGAACTTCCGTAGTCTTGTAGTATGCTGTACTTACACATGTAGTAGCAGGAATCCAAATGTGAAGGAATATAAAGGAAATTTCGCCAGCATTGGTCAAAGGAAGTTGAGGAACCGTTCCGTTTTTTTTGGCTCTTCTGTCCATCGTGGTTTAGAAAGGGTGTGTGCAGCCAATGTTCAGTCGCCGTTAAACGTCGAGACCCAGGATCGGTCAGAGCAAACACGACTAGTGGGATTAGGGATAATGTTCAAATTTGTCCTGAAAGGGGATACAGTCTGCAGATTTACAACAGCTTCAAGAAATTACATGAAATCCAACAATATGTAAGTGTTCATAATAACGACTCTGGGTAGTTACAGGGCTCAAGTATTTAAATATGAAAACGGCCGAGTGTTCAGACGAGATTTCGTAGGCATGGAAGCATGTGGATTGAAAAAGAGATGAGATGCAGATGTGTATAGCTCGCTGTGCGCCGGGACCGACTCCAACATATCCCTACAATTGCGACATCTCGACTTGATCAACTTCTTGATAGACAAAGGAATCAGTGTCCTTCACCTCGTCGACTTCATCGTCAAGAAATCCGAGGTCGATGAGTTGATCACAAATAAATGAAAGCAATCCCCGTCTACTAGCGGGTTGTTGAATCTGCTCCCTCATATTCGGATATTCTTCGTGACAGGCCTTTCGTATTTTCTTCCGCTGTGTAGAGTGGGCTAGTCCGAGAAATGAAATAGGTTTGATTCCTACAGAGAGTCTCAGAAAACATGAAAAAAAAACAGGAGAATGGATCTGGAAATGCTACCAAATAGAATTCGGACGATGGTACTTCCAAATATTGCCGCAAAAACACCCGTTAGGAAGGTCCATAAACCTCCGACTTGGGAGAATCCTTGTAGAACGGACCTGCTTCTATAGTCCTGTAACATCCTTGATTCGGAGAGATCATATTGCATAATCACACGGAAGGTGGAGACATCGCGACCCTGCAGAATGAGAGGACTTGCTGATGCCAAGGGATCAGGATATACACTGAGCACGCGTGATACCGGAATAGTTTCGTAGGACTGAGAAAGAACAGAGCTGTGGTCAATAATAAACAGAAATTCAATGCCAGCATGATACCCACATCAAATAGACTTGCAAAGGCAGATAGGCGAGGACTTTTTAACAATTGACGCAAGTCCCAGGTGATTACACCAAGCAAGTTGACACCTGGAAGTATTGTGGTGCCATGTGTTCTTTCAACCACAGTACGAGTATCATTGGTGAGACCAATCATGATCTGCACAGAGTTTCTATATGAGTCACTCATTACGTCAACTGGAAGGCCAATCTTTGTAAAGTTCAAAGTTATGAGAAGGTCTGGAGTGAAGTTTGGGTCTGGTAGTGGGAAAGATGTTGGAGTGTCTGCGTAGAAAAATAAAAACCTCTGTGATGCCTGCACATTAGAAAAAAAAACATGACCTGCCTTGGAGAATTGGCAGCCTTGAATTACAGGAGAATTTGTCCACTCGAAATCCTGTTATGCCCTCTGGCTCTGTTCCTTGGGGTAAGAAGTATTTTGCCAGTGGATCATAGAGGCATGGTAAATTGGCCTTAGGAACTGCAATGATAAAAGAATAAATGCTGCAAAATGGCTAGATGGAGTGAACTGACTCTGGTTATCCCATAATGGTGTTACATTGGCTACACTTGAAAAGTCTTCTAGATCTGATCTTCCCAAATATGGTATATACCATGGAGTGACCTAACCAACATCTCTTTCAGATGTATCCAAGAGACATTTAAACAAAATGATACATACTAGGACCACATTCCATGTCAAAGTGTCACCTTTCAAAAATAAAGGCAACTCAAGGGAACGGAGATCTTTTGTTGGTGTAAGGCCAGTTTCTTGAATGGGACCTAAAAAAACATTGATGACCAAGGAGGAGAGAAGTGTTAAAATCAGGATGGTTGCAAATAATCCTCTTGAAATGCGAATCATATTGGTCTCTCCACTGTAAATTGTTAAACTGATTTTTCAAGACTGGCATTTAGACAACACTAACCTAAAATGTCTCTTCCATGCTGCATGGCCGAACAAGACTTTGTAAGGTTCAGAAACTTCTTTTCCCAAAAAGTTTGAGGGTGTTGAGCTCCAAACATGTCGAGTGATGTAGATAGCCAGACATCCCAACCAAATGAGCACTTCAAGTACCAAGCTGATGAAGATGACCCAGGATAAAATAGTATAGGTGATCACTGAAATGTATGACCATGGATTGATTGACCCCAGTTCTGTCATGTAAGCTGCAATATCTATAGCCATATTCAAGTAAGTTTAGGGATAAAAAAAGTTGAAACATACTTGTGATTTCAAACAAGAGGGCAGGAAGATCGGCAAAGCCATACTCAAACTCCAAATTAAGGCAGCTAAAAGTTCTGGTATTAGCATGATAGAACAACCTCATGATTATATTGACAACCATACCTGACCAGATGATGCAATATAATAAATATAAGCATTGAAAACCAAAGGAAATCTAGCACATTCAAGCTCTGAAACACAGGAGGGAGCAATGCCATGCATGCAAAAGATGAAAGGAGGACAACTCGTAGAAGAATTTGTCTTCCAGAAACCACGAATTTCATATGAGTGGATGACATATAATATTTGGTTGACATATTGGGCATAGTGGTTTCACTAAAACAATAATTTTAAGAATTTTTCTACTATCTTTAGAGGCTCACTCACTTTAAAAATATGAGAGATGTAGATCTACCAAACATGATTTGGTAGGGTTTGAGATTGTCTTCTGCAGTGAGAGCTCGGTGATGCAATAAAACATGCTGTTGAGAGAGATAAAGGATCAAAGATCCCATTCGAAGAAGTGCCTCAAGGAAGAGGAAGATTGCGAGGGCACAGTAAACAACTACACAATTTTCAGTTGGTGGTCGATGCCACGCAACATCAGTAATTGCTACTATTTCTGTTGGAGCCGCCATATTAGTGTTGTGATCGGATAGTCCTGAAGTTATGGCCATGGTGATGAATGGAATATAATATCCAATGCCTAATATGATAAGTGCACTGCTCCGCTGGTGAGGTGACTACATACCTGCTACTTCAAGCAGCAGAAGTGGAAGGTCAACAAGTCCATAAAATGGGTCCAGGTTGAATGTCCTACAAAAAATGAGTATAGAAGACCAAATAGATTTCAAACTTACAACAGAAGGTGGTGTACTAAAGTAAAACTGACCACACCCAGTGCAAACCAATGCTGAAGAAGTCTAACTGACAATTTTTTGTACTCCCAAAGAAGTGGGCCGGAGAAGAGGAGTAACAATGAGGCTACGCATAATGGAACCACAAAGCGCAGAAGATAAATTCTAGCAGAGAGCAGGAAGGGCGTCTTTGTGGGCATTGCGACAAAAGTCGGAGACATAAAGATTGTCAGCGCGAAGTTGGGAGCTTATCACTGGCAGGAGAGGAACCTGTGGAACGTCAAAGAATGAGGAGCGCTGGAACAGTCATTTTGACAGCGATCATGAAGGGTGCACATGAGGCAAGTATGAGGCTATGCGGGCCTGTTGGTCTCGTGTCCGTAGAATCCCACTTAGATCCGACTGCGGACAGGCGTTTCCTATAACAGTCAAATAAGAGTGGGAAGGCATGAGGCAAATATTCATCGCAAGGTGAAACCAGTGCCTTCGCGCTTGTCCTTGTAAAGTTGTAACTTGTCATGTCGGCTTATCCTGACTGCAGGGCTTAAGGGTTCTCGCGCGCGATTCCGAATTACCAAGCGTTTATCGAGATGGCGTCGTGGAAGGAAAGACAGCGTTGATTAGGTAAGGCCAGAATAACGTTCACTCCTTGCACATCGACCAGCTCGTCCCAACAAACAGCCAGTTTTCCCAGTGAATGATGGCAGGAACACCTATTGCTCGCGCGTCAAGGCGGAGGTTCAGAAGGGGACGGGCCGCGTCAATGGCAACTTCCAACAGCCGTCGATGCCACGTCTAGTCCATTGGGTAAGCTTGTCTCGAAAGATCTTGAGCTTATTGTGGCTAACATAGTTTTCGTTCCAGATCACTGCAAATTTGCGCCGCTGGGGCTGGAAGGACCTGTTGGATGAGGTGGATGGCAACTGACGATTGTCAGGTACGTTTGCGACGTGTACGATTTGAATACGTGGAACTGATGTGCCATTTTTATAAATTAGACGTGTACCTGGAGCTTTCTCAACAACGAAATTCGCCAACGACGTCGATCGGAAACGGCTCTGACGGCAAGGAGTGGTGCTAAGATGATATCTGCGAGAGACGGTGAGCTTGGTGAGATCATGAGGACCTGAAGAGAGTCAAGTTAACAAACCTGTTAAGCAGGGGGTCACATTGGTCTATTAAACGATGACCAACAGCTTCAGAACATGAACATCAATCTCCACCGCCGTCCCACCGTATCTTTACTCTATCAGCTGGCCGATTGATAACGAGTCAATGGCCCTGACTTCTCTCCCGCCCATTCACGTAAACCTACGGCGGCCTACGAAGATCTAGGACAATCCTGGGGGCGGGGGAGATTCGAAAGGCAGCAGTACCTTTGTCGTTCGCGGCGCCACATTCCCGTTGCACGCAACTTCCCACTTTCTCTCATACGCTTGAGTCGCGCAGCACAATCGCTGGGACGGTCTATTTTTCTTTGAACCCGTCCCCGGCCATGAACTGGCAGGTGTCAAGCTCAGCGTAAGTAGCTTCCTCGATATACTCTTTATCTTTGGCATTGAAATCGGATCCAGGTCCATTGAGGTTCAAGACTGTACCCACCATCTCTCCAAGCCCTGGTGTTGAGAATGTGCATTGGTCAAACCACCAATAGCGTACGTCAAATCATGCGGAAGGTTACGTCACATGCCGTCGTCCTGCTCACGATGACCGGGCAAAGTCAAGTTGGTCTCCGCGTTCCTCCAACCCAAACCCAATACGACCTTGCTCAGGGCATAGACGCCCACCTGGTCCGTCATCATTTCCCCCCCCATCTTTCTCGACCCCAACTTCCCCACAATCGTTTGAACCACGTCTCATATCCGCCCTGGCGAACCCCACAGCCAACCCACAGCTGCTGAAATTCCTGAGCGGCGCGGGTCACGAAATCTAAAACGCCATGCCATACAGCTGACTCACATATACCACCGAAACGAAACGTTGGCGTTGGACCGTCCGAAAATCTCAATGGTCGATCTACATCGATGAGTGGCGACACCAGTTACGCTACGGTATGAGTTGTTTCCCCTAGAGAGAGCCCATCTTAAACATTGCTCTTGATAGACACCCTCTTCAGTCGTCAGAGCATCCCTGGTACGTGTCCTACTTCGCCAGACTTGTGTTTATCTTACTAACCGTCCTTCTGTGAACCAGCTTCTCTCGGCACGTGTGTCAGTTCTGCTAATTTCGGCGGATGTTCAGCAATTCACAGCATCTCTGCAAAAACCAGGTCTTCGTCGCCGCCTCTCCTGCGTCTATCAGACCAGTGCACTAGCGCCGACCTTATTACAGCTGAAGATGCGCTCTGCCTCGTCGTTGTATGTCCCACCCTTCCAGCCATACCACCCCACTTTCCTTACTTGTTTTCTCATAGGGAATAACAATGAGACTCACTCCGACCGGATTCACCGCCACAACAGATACCTCATCCCCAGCAGCAAAAAACCACTACATCTGGCTCTACTGCCCATTCGTCTAGCGCCACAACCTCATACATCCCCACCTCCTCCATTTCGATCACCACTTCGACTATCAGCTCTCTGGGAGGTCCTGGTGTAGTTGCAACATCTGTGACAACCACTTCGCCCAGTTCCAGCGGCGGCAACGGAAAGTCAAACATGACCACGGCAATCGTCACAGGCGTGGCAGACTTTTTAGCGCTGGTTCTGCAAAATAGGGGGTTTGTTGTGGTTCTGTAAAACCTGCTGGAAGAAAAGGGTTCAGGCTGTAGCAAAAGAGAGGTCCCTGTCGGAACATTCGTTGAAGAGGTTGGAGCGACATTCGCGAGAGAATGTTACTCTATATTCGGCTGGCTGCTAATGTCATCCTTGTCATGCATCTCCGTCGTAAGTGTCCCGCTTTCTCCTTTTATTCTTTCGCGACTCTTATGCTTCATGACGTGGTTATAGAACCTCACTGAATCTTTTCGCTTCCCCGGCTCCATTCTTCCCATTCGCAGTTTCCCAACGTACCAAGAACTCCACAAGTCTTTGGTATCGCAAAATGTTGCTGGCCTCGATTGCGATGTGTTCTCTACGCGGCCATGCATTCGACTTGGGTTCATTCGACAGTCGAGATCCCCCGAGCCGCTCATGTACTCTCTCAACTACCTCAATTGGCCCTGGGGAGCCAGGGTTCATCAGAGGGGCGATGGTGGTGAAGAGGAAGAGCAGGGGGGAAGGGGGAGGAAGTGGATCATGGTGTCGGGGTGGTGAGCGGGGTGATTACCTGTCGCCCGCCGATGACGTGTGCACGATGGAGGACGATCAACTACGACGGGATGACACCCGCTCTGAAGGACGAAAAAGTGGCACCAGCCCTTTCCGCCGGCGGGGAACCTCCGGCGACGTTTTACAAGCTTGCTCGACTCTTAGAGGCCACGACATAAAGAAGTTCTATAATGTTGTCACAAACGAACTTCCTTCTTATCGGGAATGCATCAACTTCTCGCTTGATTCCATGCCGTTTTCCACTTTCCTCTGTAGACGAATTCCAGTCGACTCCCCACAGCTGACTCGAAATGTCGTCTGTTAAGCTTGTAATGTACCCCTTTCCGTTGCCTCCCCGTTCAAGGTGTGGTCAATTGTGATGGGGTACCACCACCAACACCAGTCGCCCTCTACCAACGTTCAGCAATGGATCGTTTTGGCTCGCAAGGAGGATGTCGTTCTTAATTTCGACGACATCGCCTCTTTCCACAAGTGCATCATGTATAAATTTCCTTCGCCTCGTTGGTTTGTCGGCGTGGACTCCCATCCAGGGACCAAGGGGTTTGCCGTTTTCAAGAATCAATGAAATCGACACACGTCTGAAATGGCCTATAGACGCATGTATATGGGGAGGAATCAGAAGGAATCGTTATGGATTACATAACAGAGGCTGAGCAGACTTTTCAAGAGAGAAGTTTTTGGTCGTTTGTGTGTGGTCACTAGTCACTAGTCCTCACTTGCAAAGGTCTTCGCCGAGTATTGATTTGTTCGATGGCGTTGAGCACACGTTGAAGACAAACACCATTGTTCGGCTTGGTTTTCGGGCGTTTTCGCTGCTCCCCATGTTGAGATCAAACATAAGCTATGTACATCATCCAAATAAATTGAACGCAACGGTACACATATGTATGTGCATAGATGACTAGTCGACGATAAGCGAATCAGTATAAACAGTGTGCAACCCCTGAAATTAGAAATTATGGAGAATTAAAAGGGTTGCCTGGTGAGAAAACTCAGCGAGAAGGTGGGAGTTCGGTGTGTATCCCTATAGATCATTCTATACATTGAATCGTTACGGTTTAAAGAATTCAGGTGTCCTTGTCATCGATTATTCAAACTCGAGTAGCGCAGAGTGGATCATAATGGACCATCACTTATCGGGCAACAGAGGAGGTGTCTTCAATTTTCTCAGCCCCAACGCCAACTAGAACAGAGACATACGGAGGAGGATTTGTGTTCAACACAATAAGAACCAATGCCGTACCAGTAGCTCTTTCCCTATCCGAGGAATGGTTGAGAAATGGCGTTGTTTGTACTATTTAGGAGAAGTTGAAGAGACTCACCATCGAGGTCCATAGCTGCCTGATTGACGGTTCACGAAGGCACTGCAACGAAGAAGAAGAATCGATGACAGAAGGGGGGAGAGGTTTGGAAGAGGTTTTCTGTTACTCGGTACAGGTGATGAGCAAAGTTGTTAGCTAATCGGGGGGTAAACAACGGTTGTTTGTTGGAAGGTCAAAGAGCTGCCAGGGTTCATGGTATGGGGCGATTCTCGAATCAAAAGGACAGGGCAGAGCCACTGGCACCGCCGGGTCGAAAAGAGCTGTAGCCCTCTCTTTATATATTAGATAAAGCACCTTGAAATTCCGCGTTGAATATACGAGTTGGTTGTACATTCCTTTTCGTCATCATACGTTGGAAGCGGATGAACGGAGTGTGGGGCGGGATGCTGGAAGCAATAGCTTTGCCCTGATATGGAAGAAATACTGGTCGACAGCGGGGTCGAAAACTGGAGTTGTCAGGGAGGCAATGGGTTGAACATGGGATGGGAGCTTGAGCCTGGATTGCTTTGATTGTCAGATCTAGCAAATGACGAGCAGTAATGGTTGAAGCTTTGAAGACGTACTGCATGACAGTGCATGTTCATCTTGCGTAAAACCTCTCTTCTATCGCCCTTTCACGCATTACGCATAAGTAAGGGAGACGAATCACGCCGACGGCCATGCCAGCGAAGAAAACCTGGGAAAGGCCGCAATGTCCACAATGAGTTGATAAACTATAAGAGCCAGTTCAGTTTCAAAAGGAGGGCTGAGAAAGGATAGTATGCCATCGGTGTGAGTTGAAGAATTTCGTTGGAGGAAGGCGTACCTCCGAATCCTCGAAAATTTCCATGATGTTTCTCGTCCGGATCGCCTCCGAGTCGCCTCTGTGGAAACCTTCCCGTCTCTTGTGCTCATATGGCCTTGGTGTTGTTCAGGTGCATATGATGACCGCGGGAGCACAGAAGTGACCATTTCTGATCTTTATCCCAAGCAACCATACTCAATTCGAATACGTTGTTCAAGTTCGTTCCAAAGCAATGAATGACTTACCCCCGTCATCGTTCCTACCCATCCTCCACGTTACTACCATCCTTTCCGCCTTGATGTCGTCGACTTAACGACCGCAGGACGCGAGCTCCGTTACCCATGGGCCATCGCGCAGAACAATGAGCAGCATCAAGATTTGGTGTCAAGGCGCAGGAGGCGTTGCCTTCTTTAACCTCAACACCAACCTCCAACGTAACTTCATTGCAGCCCCTTACCTTTGTGGACTGACTGGTCGATTAGGAAGAGATGCCAGATGGAGACTTTGAAGTCGTTGGGGAAGGGACGGCGGGATTGTTCGCTGATGAATAGTGATGGAGGTCTGGACAGACGGAAAATGTCTTTACCATCACCACTACGAGGGGGGGCGAATGAAAAAGGGCAGGGGTTCGAAACTGGAGACCTCTACCACAGCTTTCCGCTTTTCCCAGCGCAAACCACAATCATTTCGTCACCGCACATGGCCTCTTGCTCTCAGACCGTGTTACAGGGGATCCCTGTTCTTATCGTTCTAGGTGTTTTACGGGTCGGGAGCCGAAAACTGGAAGGCTGTCTTCAAACATCGAAGAGCCTCTTCCTCCAAAACAGCGGAAAGCTGCAGGTCATTTAACGGCCAAATTAGGGCGGCAAATCCATCATCATCACTGCGCACTTTGGGGTTTGCCACATCCTCAACGTACGCCGACCTTATTACGACCTTGTAACCTGCACGATCGGGGTATTCAATTTGCCTTGTGGCGATAGGTGGCAGTCGGATTCAAATCCACCACCCCTTTGATGCATCCTCCTCCTTGCGATTGTTACGGTCGCCTATCTCAATCCAAACTTTTATCCGCCATTCTTCCCAACAAACTGAATCTTCTGTCTCCCCTCTCATCGTCTTCCTGCCTCCTCTTCGCTTTTCACATTTATAAAAATCGACAGCTGGCACTCAGCCGAACCTTGGATGATGTTTTTGACTCGTAACGAGGAAGAAACAATACCCTTTTTGGAGGCCTCAAACCCGAAACACGCGCGTTACCTCCTCATGCTTTTACTTCGCTCTTTGTCCATGAAAAGCCTGACTCAGGCTGGTGCGCCGTCCTCTGTATTTGTCATTCCCAAGTATCAACAACCGCTGCTTCCGGCACAACTTACCCGCATTTCTCTCAACCTATCTCCACCCGTCGTCAAGTTTGAGTTACAAGCACCACCCCCTCGTCCCGCTTGTTGAACGACAACCCCCCCCAGCTGTCGATAAAGATTTCCACCCCATTCCTCATATGGCCGGTCATTTTGTGTCTTATTCGCTTCGGTTGGTGGGAAGCCGTGCTTCTGAAGCGATTCGAAAGTGCGGTGGCCGCGACCAGGACAAGAGGCGGTTCGGGACGAAGAGTGGCTCTTTGCGAAATGGTGGGGATGTAAACGGTCAACTTAGGGGGCAATCAGGGCGTAGTAGGCTCTAGTTGCCTAAACGTGATGGATGCGTTTGGAGCCCGCAGCGCCATTCACCGCAGACGCTCCCTGTGATGTTGAAACACGCCTGTTGGGGGGTGGGGGATGTATTGACGTTTTAAGGTTCTCCATGTATCCGGCATCGTTTGCGACGTTGGCAGGTCTCCGTTTCTGACCCCATCTCATCATCAACATTCTCACTTCTCCTCTTCGCGTTTTCTCTAGCCACCTCCCTCCCCCTTCATTATCTTTTGTGGATTGACCGCCTCTCAGGCTTACGCAGGCACCTTCCCATTCCCATCCCCACGCATCCTCAGCCGCCTAATTGAAAATGGGTTTTATTTCCCAATCCAAAGCCGCGTTAGCTCAGGGGTCGAGCACGGAGGTTTTTGAGGCTTCGCGAAGCGGTGGCGGGGTCGTCTTTGGAGTCAGATGGTCATAGGCGACGAGAGGGCAAGGTCGCAAGCTCATTTGTGTCGGGTTAGATGTTGTTGTTGAGGAGGCTGGTCATCCCCTTGGGATCAGGATCGCGTTCGCTGCTCACCGTTACAGCCACCAGTACCACAATCCTCCGCTTCATCATCGCGCCCACCCTTGTTCATCTTCCTACATCCACGTCGTGTGCCGACTCACCTGCGGCTGCTCCCTTGGCTTCCCACTCCATTCATTTTCCCCTTGTGCCGCTCATAAAACTTCCCATCCTGGGCAGCATTGACAACCCCTGTATTGGCCTTCTGCATCGTTTCCAAAGCAACTTGTCTTTCTTAATAGACTCAAGCCAATCTCCCTCCCTTCTGCTGGTGTTGTTGCTGGGGGGTTCGAGAACCAGGGGCCATCTGGATCTTAGCAGGTTGCTTGTGATTTTCGTGTCGTTGGCTCTGACTGGTCCACCTTTGGGAGATGTGATGCGATTGAAGGTGGAGCAGGGAGATGGCATGTTCGGGCGGAGCGTGGGTCTCGCGGATGGGTCAAGGTGCTGAATAAATGTGAGGTGTGAGAGGGACGTGGGATGAGCGGAGTGGGATGAGTGTTAATGACGAGAGCGACCAAGCAAAACTGGAGACATCCTCCCTATGTTGTTCGAAGTTACATTCTTTTTCACAGGTACTATTCAGTTCCACTGTGACGCAGTGGAAGTCGGGTTACATTCATATCCAAGTTGAACAGGAAGCAGATAAGAGGGAGGGGGTGCTTGCGACTTTTAAGATTGGTGGTGCCGCTAAGGACTGGAATGTTTCGTTGTTAGTTGTGATCACGGGCGATCGAAGGTACGGTATTCATTCCTCACAGCTCCTCTTTCAATCCGAAATTTGACTCCCCAGTTGATGAGGACGCTGAGTAGGGAGGTGTTCGCAAGGTGTATACCCTCCACAGTCATGCCGAAATGTTCGTTCCTCAAAGTTGTGACCATACTACTTAATTGGAGGCACGGCATCCGCTCCTCCTCCTTTTTCCTCCCCTCTCCTCGTCTTATTGGAAGTTTAAGGCTTCTCTGCAGGCAGCTACGATCCATCTTTGGAGGTGCAGCGAGGCATCGCTGCCCTATCTTCGTCATGCACTGGAGTCGTGTTCGGAGTTCGTTATTACTCTTTACCTATCACTTCTTTCTGAATGCAACTTGTACTTCCCAACATACCACTTCTACGCCCCTACTTCGCCAGAATATGTTTCGTGCCAATTCACCAGACGATGAGAACGGGAAATTATGATTTCGGGAAACTGACTGAAGTTGCGAAAACAGTTGCACTGGCAACAACTAACCAAAAACTACTTATAATCGACTATTTATAGTACCTCAGCGGACTCTCAACCTGATCTTCGCCCTTGTCCACCTTGAAGCCAACTTGAAGCTCTCTCACCGCTATCGTTGGGGACACTCAACTTGGATGGCATTTAACATGGTGCTACACCCCCTTTCAACTCCAAAAAACAAAATCCATCCTCATCGTGTCGTCTAGACCAACAAGCGTTACCTCAGGCTGTACCTGATTCGGCTTCTACTACAGCCGCTGCCCCCGATGGGTTGCCATCTCTTCTTCCGATCCAAACATCTGGGCGTTTACTTCATGGGAAACTTTCCACGAAGGCTTCCCTAAGCATCCCCTCGATATTTGCCGAGGGAAATTATACAGGTGCAACATTTCCCTGGGGTTCGCAGAGTTTTCCCAGATAGTTGTTTGTAATTCTTCCGTTCTGCACGACGGGATCCACTCTGGGAGGTTCGTAATTTACAATCCCCGTTTCATCCATCTGTCACTAACGAAGGTGGCCCAGTGATTAATACGCAGATATTCACATATGTTAGTCATCATGTCCCATACTTAATGTAGTAACCGGATGTGACAACCACTCATGTAACATGAGCCCAGCCGGACCGGCCGGTTTTCTAAACTGTCCCTTAGTGATTGGTACAGCCGTGATCGTTACAATCACCCATCAGCATGAGGCAGCCGTACTTCTCCCTGACAGCGACTCCTGCGGAGCATGCACATCATTGTCCGACGGCGCAAATTGCGGCCCACCTTGGGCAAAATGCAGAGCACTTTGTAAATATACTATAAAGATTTTACATAATAATAGGGCCACAGAAGCCACTCAAACACCATGAGGACTGTCATGGGGAGGATGCATATCATCGTCCGCCAGCTCAAATTGTGGGGTACCTTGTAAATGTACTACAATGCTTCCACATAACAATAAGGTTGCAGAAGTCAGTTAAACACCATGAATGTGACCCATTGCAGACCTACATGTACTTTTAACAATTTTTTTGGAACCCAAGCAGCCTCCATTAACTATTGTATATATTATGGGTCCCACAAATACAGCTGAATATGATACACCAGCAGAGGACCTTCCAATAAAAACACATTACTTTTGCATGGGGGACACCTTTTTCTAATAGCTGTGTTGGTCTAGAGCAATATATATATATACTATGAAGCTCCATTAGAGCAGTGCAATTTTTTTTACAAAGACTCCGGCGGAGTAATGCAATTTTTTTAGAGAAGACCCCGGCGGAGAAATGCAATTTTTTTTTTACAGAAGACCCCGGCGGAGCATTGCAATTATTTTTAAAACAACTTCGGCAGAGCAATGCAATCTTTTTTTTTTAAAGAGCCTGGTGGCCCAACACAATTTTTTAAGAAACAACTCCAGCAGAGCAATGTATATCAAAGAGAACTAAGGAAAATAATGGCCAAAGTATATCTTAATAACTCAATCAATGAGGAGAGTGTCTACTGCTAACATAAAAGAATTTTACTAATGAAGGGTGATGAGGTAAATTATCTGTGGACCTACATACATGTATCTCAAAGAGACTCTGGTGGAGAAATGCAACTTTTGTTAAATTGGTTCTATTGGGGCAATGTATATGAGAGGGAACTTGAATTCAAAGAATGTTTCTACTGGAGCAAAATATCTTCTAAATGGCTCTGCTGGAGCAATGTATTTTTTTTTTCAATAGCTCTGCCAGAGTTATGTATTTCTTTTAAAAATGGCTCCACTGCAGCAATTTTTTTTTTATAGGTAGTTCTGTTTGAGTAGGCTCCGCCGGAGCAGTGCAATTTCTTATAACAATGATGCCACCAGAGTAAAGCATTTTCTTTTCATGGCTCTGCCAGAGCAGTGCAATTTCTTCTAAAGATAGCTCTGGCAGAGCAGTGTATTTTTTTTTCAATGGCTCCACCAGAGCAATATATATATCTTTGAATGGCTCTGCCGGAGCAGTGCAATTTCTTCTAAAGATAGCTCCGCCGGAGCAGTGTATTTTTTTCAAAATGGCTCCGCCGGAGCAGTGCAATTACTAATGATAGCTCCAGCGGAGCAGGGTATTTTTTTTTTTCAATGGCTCCGCCGGAGTAATGTATTTTCTTAAAAACAGCTCCACTGGAGCAATGCAGTATTTTAAACAATGGCTCCACTGCAATGTAACTTTTTCAAATGCCTCTGGTGGAGAAGTGCAATTTGTTTCAAAATAGCTCCGCTTGGGCAGTAAAACTTTTATAAAGTTGCTCCGGCGGAGTAGTGATTACTTTTTGAGATACAATCCGCATGATGTAACAATGACTTTTAACTCACATAAAAACCATCTCTGTCAAGCTGGAGAAGGCAGAATTCAAATGAGCTAGGCCCAATGATAAGTTGTTCAGGAGAAAGATAAGTCTTGATGGTTTTACTGTAAAATGTACCATTTCGCACTTTGTTTGAGGTCTGCAAAATTTAATAATGAGTTTCAACCCAGGTAGAAACCACCTTTAAAAAGCTTGGAAAAGCATGATTCCAACAAGCTATGCCCGACGATAAGTTGTTTGGGGAAGAGAGAAGTCTTGACGGTTTTATTGTAAAATATAGCATTTCACACATTGTTTGAGCTCCACAAAATGTAATAATGAACTTCAACCCATATAAGAACCACCTTTGAAAAGCTTGGAAAAGCACGATTCCAACAAGCTAGGCCCGATGATAAGTTGTTCAGAAGGAAAAAAAAGTCTTGATGATTTTCATTACAATGCCATAATGCAGTCAAGATTTGATAGAGATTATTGACGTAAAACACCTTTTCCTATGTTTGTCTATGAAAACAAAACATCTCTCAAAGATTTTTACATAGTAATTAACATGGCAGCTATGTCTATCAACTGGCTGGTTTGGAGGTTATATGGCTTGAAAATGGGTGAGTGCGTTGCTATTCGTCGGGATGCAGGGTCTGTTTGCATCCGGCGGAGGGTCTGTGCACCAGGCGCATCACCTCAATTTGGAAATGACCCAGGCACAGATTTCAACTTTGATGGGTCCCTGCCCAGGAACAAGCAGGATAACTGGACCATCCCTGTTGCGGCAATGCCTTTTCACAATATGTGGCCCTGCATGATGAATACTTGGTTACCTCTGGTTATCAGCAACAGAGCTCATAT